GCACATCCCATCTCATTGGGCATCTGTCCTGATGTGCAGCGGTCACTTTGGAAGCTCCCCTACGTAATAACGTAACAATAGCAATTGTGGAATTGTTCAGTTCTGTTTCCTGCAGAAACAAGGTCACTTATGAAGATGCAAGTCTCCAAATAAATTCTGCCCTTTGCCCTTTTTAAAAACAACAACAACTGATCTTTTCTTTGATAAGAGAGCTATCCTTTCCTGTTGGGTCCCCAACACTGGAGGACCAGCGTAGTGTAGGGATTTGAGCATTGGACTATGATTCTGGAGACTGGGGTCCAATTCCTGGCCATGAAACCCACTGGGTGACCTTGGACAAGTCACACTCTCTCAGCCTCAGGGGAAGGCAATGGCAAACCTCCTCTGAACAAATCTTGCCAAGAAAACTCCCTGATTTGGGTTGACGTAGGGTTGCCATAAGTCCGAAATGACTTGAAGGCACACAACAACAACCCCAGCTTGGCGGGGGGGGGGGGGGGGGGATGGAAAACCCATCAACCACTTTGCTTCCAGTAGGCTGTGTGTGGCCCCAGAGAGCATGAGGGACCTGGGTTCAAATGGTGGCAAGGCACTGGTTGTTCCCACTGTTGTTGAAACAAACTCCCGCAGGATTTGCAGTCACTCTCTGCATCAGGCTCGGCTCCACGTCCCGTCCTCTTCACCGCACAGAGAGAAAGCAGCTTCTGAGGCAGAAAAATCCACCTCCCGGCTCTCCCGCTTTGGTCTGTTTAGCAAAGAAATGGGGCAGAAAAGCGTCCCTTTGTGTGAGCAGAGGGCAAGGGAGTGGAGGAGGAATGGAGGGTGAGACAGGTTGGAAACCTGTGACTAGAGACCAGTTGGTGGTGGGTCACTGGTCTTAATCTTTAGGAATAGCATCCTAAAGATTAGATGGGTCAGATGGTCATAACAGCCTCTGATAAAGACGCTCTGATAAAGTCTCTTATTGCTTTTCCCACCCTTGCTTTCCTCTTCATCCTCTTGTCTAGCTGAAAGGTATTTAGCAGCATCCGCATTGGGAGCATGATGAAGGGAAGGCTGGAGAAGTACAGATTTTCAGTATCAGATTGTAATAACTTGTTTGCAGTAAACAGTGCAATGTATCTTAAGGTGTGGAAAAGCTGGATTCTGCTCCAGCCGATCCTATTGTAGCTACGTGTGCATCCCTACAACAGGCAAAGGAAACAGCAGCTGCCTCCAGAATCCCTTACTGAGTATGGATGAATAGCAAAACAGAGAGAAAAGTGGGGAGCAGAAAAGCCTACTTCACCTGTTAACCCCACCATATTAAAGAGATCTATAAGTTTGCCCACTAAAATGGAAATCATATGAAAAGTGGAGGCTGGTAAGAAATGCAATATTTCTCTTAACTTGACCTGCGTGTTTCATTTCACATGTGCATGTTGTTAGCTTTTCAGAAAAGCCTGGCTGAAACAAGGAGAACTGCTCTTCTTTTTTATGGCATGTGAGCCAGTATGGCGTAGTGGTTTGAATGTTGGGCTATGACTCGAGAGATCCAGGTTCAAATCCCTGCTTGGCCATGAAACCCACTGAGTGACCTTGAGCAAGTTACATCCTCTCAGCTTCAGGAGAAAGCAATGACAAAGCTCCTCTGAACAAATCTTGCCAAGAAAACTCCATGATAGGTTTGCCTTAGGGTTGCCATGAGCAGGAAATTACTTGAAGGCACCCAACAGCAACAATAGTTCACATCATGCAGTTACAGCTCTACAATTTCACCTTAAGGACCATGTCTCTCTCATCCTGTGGAATGCTGGGATTTGCAGTTTGAGGAAGGGTCCTGAGAATTTTCAGCCAGCCGCGCCAAACTACAAAGTCCGGGATCCCACAGGATGCAACCATGGCAGTTAAAGTGGAACCATAGCACCATAGTAGGACTGAAGGAGCCCTTGGTCTGAATCTGAACCCAGAACCCTGCTTCCGTCAAGGTTGTGCCTGGTATGTTTTTCAATCTGGCTGGAGCCCAACTCTTAATAATCACTTTTCAGTCTCCATTTTGATGGGGTGAAGGGGACCCGCCTTTCCTCCTTCCCATGCAAACCGAGGGTGTTTTGTCAACCTGGGCTGGGCTCCAGCCCAGGAGAGGCTGCCTTTCAGGTTGGTTTTCATGCCCAGCCTACTCTTTTTCCTTTTAATATTAGGATGAGCCAGTTTGGGGCCTTTGAAAGCTATAGACTGGTTAACTGGTTCATGGGGATTTTTCTTTTTTAAATTCCAGCCTGGATGAGTCAAAAGGCAGGATCTTTTTCTGATGCTTTCGTAAGTTGCAGTAAGCATGGTTTTAGTATGTCAGAGCAGCGTACCAATTGACATCATGGTGGCGATGATGATGATGATGATGATAGAAGTGGAAACTTTGCATTCTGAAAGACTGAGAAAAACCATTGATCAATGATAGATAGGACTGCCAAGTTATAAACTGGAAAGGGCTCCTGTACTTTTGATGATGTTCTGTTGTTTCACACTGGCTTCAATTAGATGCCCTATCTCATGTGTCTGCAAAGTAGTATCAAAGTGCTATATCTATGTACTGTGGATGCAACCCCTGTGTGATTTTAACTTTTGGTGATGCCCTGTCTATTTCACATTGGTTTCAATTAGATGCCCTATCTTATGTGTCTTCAAAGTGGTATCAGTGTGGTAGGGATGTGATTTTAACCTTGTGTGATTTCAACTTTTGATTATGCCCTGTTTCACACTGGTTTCAGTTAGATGCCCTATCTCATGTGTCTGCAAAGTGGTATCAAAGCGCTATAAATATGTGGTGTGGATGCAATCCCTGTAGGATTTTAACTTGTGATGATGTTCTATCTGTTTCAC